CATTGGAAGATCTGTCAGTAAGGCTTTAATTATTTTGCAGCAGTCCAACTGTAGAGTGCAGTGGCAGAACTACCGCCCGCGCAGGGTTCGCAGCTGCGACCGGGCCCAGGACCCCTGTGACCGTGGGTCCCCGCCTGCTAAGTAATATGGCCTTGGCCTACACGGTGTAACCTCCAGGGTCGCATTCAAGGGGCCCCATCTGGTGACCCACGCCATGTATTTCCAGGGGGCACAGTCAGCGCTTCAACAGTGCAACCGGGCCCCCTCTGATGTCAGACTGCGCTTCGTAAGGGGGAGGTGGGGGCAGGGCAATTTTTGCCCTGGGCCCCTATAGTTTTTAGTTACGCCTCTGTGAGTGATAGGAGTCACACTCCACAGCAAATTCAAGGTAAGCTATTCCCATCTATAAAAGGGACACTATAGACATCCAGACCACATAATTTAATTGAAGTAATTATTATTAATAAAGTGCCAACAAGTTCCGTAGTGCTATACAATGCGTGGACTAACAGACGCAAATTTTAAACCAGACAAGATGGACACACAGGAATTGAGGGCCCTGCTCAATGAGCTTACATGCTAGAGGGAGTAAGGTATAATGACGCAAAACGTAAGGGTAGGGTAGAAAAGTAGGTTGCTAGGATAGTATTCATTGAGGGCTTAGTGTTTTGTTTTGATGACCGTTTTAGGAGAGGAATCAGGGTACGGGGAGGGAAAGCTATTCACAGTTTAATTGATATGCTTTAGGTGCAGCCCTAGAGTAGTCATTAAGGTGAGCATCAGAGGTAGGAGTACAAACAGGTTAGACGTAGATCTCCGGCAGAGCGTAGGGGCCTACACGTGACATATTTGTGAATTAGTGAGGATAAGAAGGTTGGAGCAATCTGTAATAAATATTTGTGTATTAGTGAGGATAAGTAGGTTGGAGTAATCTGGGTTAAGTGCCCCTATTCCTTTAACCCTGCAATGTAAAAACATTGTCGTTTCAGAGAAGCTGTATTCTAACGGAGGTCAACTATGTGAAACGACATTGGACGTCCTCACAATTTGCAGTAAGACATTCAAAGTCTTCAAAATACCAATTGGAAAGCATCGATTCAATGTTCTTTTTTTTCCCCCTTTTAAAATTATACTAAAGATTTAGCAAATTACATAATTGTCCCTTTCCGTCCACACACACAGCCAGGGGGAAGGTAGCATATGAGGAGGCTGACTGCCAGGTGCAAAGGGCAGGCTTAAAGTAGAGCTGTTACTTCTGTAATAAATACTTGATTAAAACATTGAAAATCACCTATAACGCGTGTTGACCTTTTTCAAGGGATGCTCCATTTTCTCTAACATTTAAACGATTTAACGTGTAACATCATAATCCAGTTTTAATAATATTCATGCACATTTATAGTATCCACAGATTGAACATGGTATATAAACACAATCCATAATTTCAGAAAGCAGTGATTTTCTCTCTCCATTTATCATTTAATAGCTGTCAACATGAGGCTTTACATGGCTGAATATTTTATAAAGGCTTTTTTCCCCTGAATTTTAAAATGGTTCTTTTTCGTGTCATGCAATCATATTTTTCTTTAACGTTTTTGTTGTTGGAGGTTTCCTTTGCTTTACAACGTCTAATTTTGTCTTATAGATATGTGTCACCTGTAAACCGAGCAGATTTCTCTACAAATGGTTTTTAGAAAGGAGTTCAACGACCACAGTAAGTGCTTTTAGCCCACGGCCACGTTGTCAGATATCACGGTAATGCAGATTTTTGGATGAGCATGTAAGAGCTAGCATTCCCACGATGCCTTGATGTTTATTTTTACACATAAGTTTTATTAAGGTTCAATTAAGGGGAGATTTAAAGGGGCACTCTAGGTACCATAACCACTACAGCTCAGTGTAGGGTAAATAGTAAAAATAATCTGTTTTTTGTCAAACGGTTTGAGGGCAGTTTGGCAAAAGATTATGCTCTCGCCATAGACAACACCATCTTCAGCTTCCTTCACACTGTGAAATTTTCACTTTTTCCAATATCCATTCCATCAAACATGGTGCACTGATAGACGGTGCGGTGGAGACAGATTAGGCGAGTGCTTTTATCCTATCATTGCCATTCTGGTTGAATAGCACAAATTATCACAAACAAAAAAAACATACAAACATAAGAGGAACTAGAGAGAAGGGAATTCTGTGAGTTTTTTTGTGGTTTTAAATGGGGGTGGGGGATGAGGAGAAGTAAACAAATGTAATTTATAAATTAAATTTATAAATGTGCAAATTTGCATTGAAATCTGCACTTTTAGTAAAATGGAAAAAAAAAGACAACACATTTTTCACACATGAATCATTTTAGCAAGATATAGTGCTTTGGAGGTCTTGAGTGTCCATTTAAAGAGGCACTTGGCGGCTGTGATATATTAAACTGGTGTAGAATGAATCTACCTTCCTCCAAATAACGTGGCTGTGTTTCTCCTCGCAAGGCTAACATGCAACTGGCTGAACTAAACTGGAAATCAACTACTATACACCATGGAACAAGAAACAGGATTTTCTTTAACAAAATAATGTTCTGCAATGTTTGTCAAAAAGAGAAAATGCCTTATCTGCCAATGTTCTGGGTGCTATAAATCTGTGTTTACCAGATATAAACAGGTGTATGACCTATTAATGATACAAATAATCTAATATAGCAGGTGTAAAAGTTGGTAACGCAGCCAGGAGCAATAAAGTTATTACCCAAATTGATTGCATTATTGTAGACGTATTATGCCACAACTTAAAATGATATATGCCTCCAGGGGTTTAAGTAATAAAATTAAAAGTGATTGGAGGTGCACAAGGAAGGACTCTGGTATATAAATTGAAAAGTAAAATCAAGATAGATTTATAGAATTATATACTAAGGCGAGACCCGTTGAGAATTCAAAATGAATTAAAATTTAAGGCCAAAATAGATAAAAGGTTATTTACAAACATGAAAATTGTGTGGAATTCAAAGTGAATTTTAAATTTAAGGCCAAAATAGCTGAATTGGAAAAATTATCCAAGTCACTTATGCTTCTTATTTGACTACTTTGGCCTCAAATTTGAAATCACTTTGTATTCCAAAAATTCTCACTTTTGTAAATAACCCCGATAGTGTAATCTATTTCATAGAGATAATATATTTATGAAGATTAAAAAGGACCACTCTAGGCACCCAGACCACTTCAGCTTAATGAAGTGGTCTGGGTGCCATGTCCAGCTAGGGTTAACCCATTTTTTAATAAACATAGCAGTTTCAGAGAAACTGCTATGTTTATTAATGGGTTAAGCCTTCCCCCAAAGCCTCTAGTGGCTGTCTCATTGACAGCCACTAGAGGCGCTTGCGTGCTTCTCACTGTGATTTTCACAGTGAGAGCACGCCAGCGTCCATAGGAAAGCATTGTAAATGCGTGCGCATTCAGCCGACGGGGCGGAACAGAGGAGGAGAGAAGGAGGAGAGCTCTACGCCCAGCGCTGGAAAAAGGTAAGTTTAAACCCCTTTCCCCCTTCCAGAGCCGGGCGGGAGGGGGTCCCTGAGGGTGGGGGCACCCTCAGGGCACTATAGTGCCAGGAAACGAGTGTTTTCCTGGCACTATAGTGGTCCTTTAATGTTTATCGTGTTTCATTGCAAACCAAAGCAGTCAAAAAGATACTGTAAGTCAAAGTAGAGACTATTTTGTCTTATCATTGACAAAACCTGACAAAAGGGTCTATCACCATCAAGTTTTGTCAATCCACATTTACTCTGTAAGTATATCTACCTTTAGCTTTTCCCTCTGCTTGTCATCACACAAGTGGACATGTCACCTGTATGGGCCGCTCTAATATATAAAATAAACCCTAAGGGTTACAGAGCCACAGTAACACTGCCTGTTAAAAAAAAAAAATCTCCTTACCGTCTGCCTGGTGTCTGTGATCGCTGTCTTCAGGCTGAAGGAGCCTGATCTGTGCATGGCCCCGCCCCCTCAGACTAAACACAGTGATCTGTGCATGGCCCCGCCCCCTCAAACTAAACACAGTGATCTGTGCATGGCCCCGCCCCCTCAAACTAAACACAGTGATCTGTGCAAGGCCCCACCCCCTCAGACTAAACACAGTGATCTATGCTTAGCCCCACCACTCAGACTAAACACAGTGATCTATGCATAGCCCCGCCCCCTCAGACTGAACACAGTGATCTGTGCATGGCCCCGCCCCCTCAGACTAAACACAGTAATCTATGCATGGCCCCGCCCCCTCAGACTAAACACAGTAATCTAGAAACATAGAAACATAGAATGTGACGGCAGATAAGAACCATTCGGCCCATCTAGTTTGCCCAATTTTCTAAAAACTTTCATTAGTCCCTAGTCTTATCTTATAGTTAGGATAGCCTTATGCCTATCCCACGCATGCTTAAACTCCTTTACTGTGTTAACCTCTACCACTTCAGCTGGAAGACTATTCCATGCATCCACTACCCTCTCAGTAAAGTAATACTTCCTGATATTAGTTTTAAACCTTTGTCCCTCTAATTTAAGACTATGTCCTCTTGTTGTGGTAGTTTTTCTTCTTTTAAATATGCTCTCCTCCTTTACTGTGTTGATTCCCTTTATATATTTAAATGTTTCTGTTATGGGCAAATGCAAATATTACAAGTTTTAGAATGAAATGTTGTATTTCTTAAACTGTGTACTTTGTCTTTAAGATATATTGCAAACTGACAAGGTGTTAGAAATGGAACATATTGTTTTTCATAACTGTTTCTTTAAGCAATAACCTCAGTGCATAATATGTTTGCGCCATTTTGTCCCAGACGAATTATAATAACAATAATGCATAAACAAGCTTCAAGGCTATACTACGACTCTTGCAGTACACAATATACTGTGGTAACCCCAAGTTAATGGAACTTCCCCAAATCTGGGAATCTCCCACGACTGTACACTTACGACTTAGTATAAACAACAGATAACCTATTCAGACTTTAAGATGCCATCTTGAACTAAGTCAGGAAAATTTCCATGACGTAGACACCATTTAGTTATGGCCTTGTATGTTTGCCAAATTAAGGGAGGTCCTAAATTGAATAAAGTAAAAGAAGTGTTACTTTTTCATATTTGGACTACAGTAACCTAAAATGGAGACATCTAAGGTATAAATAGGTGTACTTTTAAATGTTAAGACACGGAGGAGAGACTTGGAGACAGACGCTGCTCCATCTTAAAATGACAGAGAGGCTGACATGATGACATGTTCAGAAGGGTATGTTAACCTATTAATGATATTTGCAAGCATGTAATTTAATCTTATAAACTCTGCTATAATGGATTTTATATTTTAATATAATAAATATCCAAAAAGACAATCTTGCTTCCAAGACAATCCTTATTTTATATTGTATTCTCAATTATTTATATATGTTAAATAGATGATCTCTTACACTATATAAAATTATGGCTAAGATATCTGTATGGTTAGCCCTACTAAGTTCTATGCTTTAAGACATTATAGTGGTAAATAAGGGAACCACACAGCGGTTACAATTGGCGACCACAAAGGGACTTTGTACTTGGAAGCTTTAAATATAAAATAAATACCTAGGTAACCTCTTATACGTAAGAGAAGACACAATACTTTGTCATGGCACAAGTCTTGAAATATCAAGAATCTATTGAGCTACTTGGAGCCCAGACTCAGAGAGAGATCATTAGAGATGATTTTAATGTGAACAAGGCACTGTGAGTTCAGGTGCCAGGTACAACGTAATTAGCATACACTGCTGAAATTGTGGATCTTAACTAATATCATAATAGAACAAATATACATATTTGGTAAACTCCCTGATATGCCTAATACACCAGCATAGCATGGTCCGTTAGTTCCAGGACAGTGGATTGCAGACAGGGGGATATGTTCTCTTTGTAGCTGCTTAGTATGCATGCGCAGGAAAAAGATTAATGCAAAATGTTGTCAAAAGAAAAGTGATAAGACAGAGCGATGAAATTTGAAGTCTAATTCCAAGAATGCAAAGAAAATTGCATTAAGGCTTAATGAAAACATACATGCAACAGACAGACAGGATTTTTAATTATTGCATTACTGCGTTCTGGATTCTAATGTCCACTATATAAGAAAGGTTTTAGAAAACAGTGATATTTTCCATATTGTCAGTTACGCTAGCTGTTGATTGAAAATCAGGAATTATAACAGCATAACTATTTTTGGAGTCTGGAATTTCCAGCCAAGGTTGCGGAGATAGAGACATGTAAACATTCCAAGGAATTGAGAAGTCGTTGTTTTATATTCCAAATTATGAACAACATTATTACATACAGCCATAGAGAGAAAGACATGGCTATTAAATGCATTCAATGCAGTACACTGCAGCATATATTTTATATAACATATGCTAACTAGCTCATATTTTTTCCTAAACAGAGTTGAAATTATACCACCCTCCTAGAAAAAAGGGCAACAGGTGGTTATACATCCTTTGCTTCTCTAAATCCTCTGCAAAAATAAATATTTATAAAATAATTAAAAATAATATATACGTAAGATAAATCAGGGCAAAATAAAATTGTAACTAGACAGGATCTCTAATAACTTTTAAACTGAAATTATTAAAGGCTTATTTAAATAAAATGTTAAATACATTTACAGCTTTAAATGTGACCAAAAGATATTAAATGATGTGTTAAGCAGCCAGCCCAATTCACTAGAATAGCATAAGTATTCTACTATTTAAAGTGCACAATTCCTGCACATAATGACTTTGCTTACTCAGGTACAGTCTTTAGTCTATTGCAATGGCAGTAAAGTCCACCAATTTTAAAAGGGAAATCTTACTTAAATCATTGGTACTATCCCACCGTGCTAGCAGTAAGGAAATTAGAACAATTATATTGTACTACTGACTGTAATCAGATCAGACACATGTAATCTCAGTGAATTTCATAAACTAGGTTTTCATAAAATAAGATTAAATATCAAAGTTGTTTATATATCAATATATCAATGTTGTTTACAAATAAAAGTATGTAGACTAGGCAATAACAGCATTTACATGCATTCAGCAGCCTGCTCTCTCAGAGCCAGAAACGGATTAAAATAAATAAATAAATATAAAAAATAGGTTTTAAAAGTCCACAGTCAACCGCACGTGAAATAAGGGTGAAATAATGGCTTATTTAAAGCTATATGCTGCCGCAATTATGTATATAAATACAGATTAGGGAAAAGAGTAAAAATAAAAATACAGTTTCAAATCTCATATATGAGGATTCAGTTCCACCACATATTCTACAATTCTGAAAGAGGCTAATTTTAATAATATGTTGTAAGAGCATTGTGAATATATTTAATGCAAAATTAATTTGATATTGCAAGGCTGCAATATTCTAAACAGACATTAAAATTTAAGAAAAAATTAAAAAAAAAATTCATAAAGAATAATGCATAAAAGAAAATGCAGTGTCTATTAAAGTGATGATACTCTGATATTAAATCACATTGGATATCACATATCTGCTATATGAAAAGTATAATTAAAGTGACATTACTGTCCAATGCCCCCTCACATCTATTTTATAGAATCTATACTTTTTTGTGGTCACCTCCAAAGAAGCCTCTGAAATTGGGGGGCTCAGAGGGGTGCTCATCCCAAAAGGAATCAGATTCCAGACTTACATTTTTTTTTTTTAAAATAAATAAATAAATGATAGAAAAAGAATCACGGGAATACCCAGAACATGCATTTTTGTATATAATTTTAATTTGCAGATAATTTATGCCTTAAAGACATATAAAGGATATTTAATTAAATATGCAGGAATCTTTAAAAATTAAGCAAAGTAAAAATAAAATAAAAAATAATAATAATAAAAAATTTATTTTACACCACAATATAAACAGCTTTGTTAAACAGATTTAAGTACAAGTACTTTTGACAAGAAATATACAGAACACGTTTACAACAGGCAGGTTTAGCATAAATGCAAAGTTGTTGTTTTGGGGGATTTATTATTGCCCAAGAAATCTCTGAACATATTCAGAATTTTTGAGAGCAGCAAGAATAGATAGCAGATTGCAATGGACACCATTACAATATTGCTTTGCCGATTGATGTCAAAGCTTTAAAGAATAAATAAATGTTCTATAGCTCACTAGACCGCTGGCTTTTAATGAGCAGTTTGCACAACACTTATAAATAGTTTGTAATACTGCACATTATAGCTGTGACAACATGAAATACAGTGTAAAAATGCTATTTTACTGTTTAATAGACTTACCCAGTATTTAAGGACGACATGTTTCTTGCAAAGTCATCGGGACTTTGAGGGAGGTTCTAACTACGTTTAATTAATTAATTTACAAAAAAAAAGAAAAGAAGGTTTTGTTTTCCCCCTGCAAGTGAGTTTTCAGCGCAAGGTCATCTTGTGTTCACAGACTATTCGGTTTTAAAAAGCTGTTCTTTATCTCACATTATGAACGGCCTTGTAATTCCTATGCACACTAAAAGTTGGCTTTTAAATGTTATTGTTTTAACTTTAATATTTCATAGTTATTACGGAGAATAAAGTAATTTAAAGAAAGTATATTAATTGATAGGATTTCATTTATCTATTTTGGTCCACTGTTCACTGATCTCGAATCTCAGTCTGGTGTTCAAACAGTTTTTCTTACGATACGTCGTGAGTTTATATCCACAACTGCATTTTGCTTTGTGGAAACAAATTGAAAGCCTGGCATTGTAATATGTGTATGGACATGCTTATAACAAAGCATGGGCCCTCTCCTCATGTAGTTGGTCTGTAACAGGCACTTTGATGCAATGTGTCTACCAACGCTTTTCTGTGGTCACTGGATCACATCGCATACCCTATCTCTCTGTCATGATGCAGAGTTTATGCTTGCAAGGATATCCAGACCTTATCCACCTGGTATCCGCATAAATACTCCTATCGTTTAGAGGGGTTAATTACATAATAACCATTGAAGGTAACATGTTGGTTGTTCTTCCTATAGAGGAAAGATGGACTTGCCCTAAAAGCTTTTTCATGGCTAGGACAAGCTCTTATAGAGAGAGGTAATGTGCTTCTGACTCCTGAAAAGGAATATTGGTGGTCACAATATGGGAAATACTGTAATTCATGTGTTTAGTAATCATAAGCATTTGCTTATTGCCACATTACTGATGTACTGTTTATTGAAATATTAATATCCAACATACTTTTGAATTACTATATATTGAAAGTTTGCCAACATCTCATGGTTATAAATATGTTTTTGTATGTGTTGATGCATGTACCAGGTTTACTTGGATATGTCCTGTGCGAAGTGCAACCTCTGATGCCACGTTTTCTAGTCTCACTTCCTTAGTATGCATTTGATAATCCCAGGACCATCCATTTGGATGGTGGTCCTGCAGTTACTGAAAAGGAAACCTAAAACTGGGCAACCACATTTGGGTTACTTTGGGATTTCAGTGCCCCAACCACCCCCAAAGAAGTGGGGTTGTGGTCTGGGAAAATGCTGAGGTTAAATGATTATTAACCAAGTTACTAGTTGCTTGCCCCACACAGTGGTATCTATTTATTCCTATGGTACAGATGAGCATTCACAACAAACCTGATGATATAAATGGTGAGACACCATATGAAATGTTACATGTTTTTCACTGACAAATATATTTCTGCACCAGGGAGAGCTTAGAACCATTGGTTCTATTAGAGAAATTTAGGGAATTTTTTTTTTCCAGCCCACCTCGCCTTGCACCACCACCTATTTCCTTCTGTTGGCCAGTTTGTCCTGGAGAGGGTGATACCGAGAACTTTTACTACAGAGAACAATCAGACCCAACAGAGAACAGTAAGTTTTGATATTTTACAACCTGCTAAATACTAACAGGACGTTCACAGAACCACTGACTGACACAATGGATACTGTTAAAGATGACAAGATAAAACAAACAGAGGACGACAGAAATGCCCCCAAACACAGCCACCAGAATCATAGACACGTAACAGACTGAATCATGATCTGACATCTGAACCTGCAAATGTGAAGGAGAAGGATGAACAGACAGACGTGATACATTCACAGTTAATATGGAATGTACGAAAAATGAATCATCAACATCATTATAAGAAAGACTCTGGAGAAAACAGACTGAACCTGAATTATCTTATACAGTAAGAAAGAAATTCAAAGATGGAAGCAAAAGGATGCTAGAAAATTGGTTATGGTGTCTCCTTCTTACAGTCTGCAGCATTATCATAACATCAACCCTAGCTGTTGTTTTAAAACTGCATTGGAATTATGTTAACAAGCAGGAAGCACCTGAACTGAATTGGACTGCACACTATACAAGTTCTGTGATCGTGAGGACTACCTCCAAGAACCATCTCAAAAGGAGAGACACAGCTCACAGTGAAATGATTGCTAATGTGACCTACACTGGTATTTCACAAGGAACCTATTGAGATCATTCCAAAAAACGATTATACCTGAGAAAGATGTGATTGGACAATTACAAATCCTAATAATGGACTCAACAATGATGACAAAGCATGCTGAAAACAGAAAAAGACGGGAAAGATGCTTATGAAAGACTTTGGATGCACCTATGAAGGTGATGCAAGAAAAGACTTTGCCATATAGTTTATAATTGAATGACTACTGCAAACAGCCTTCTTATGCTGAAAAGAAGTGCTATGCTATTATCCAGACAGAAGATGACCGGAAAAAAATAAAGGCTGATAACTGTCAACACCCAGCTGTTTTTCAAGATGGAACATGGTACTGAGAAAACCTGATAGACTATCAAAGCACCTCACAGTACAAGACAGATTGTTACCTACAACTCAGAAAAAGTGGTTAATAGGAAGGAGCAGAAGAAGAGGAAAATAGATTTCCTACTGGAGTGAAAAAACCATCCTGGAACAATATTCTGTAACAATGAACTTTACAATGACATTTGGTGGCATACGAATTTGAATTTGGTAGAAACACATCAATTAACGAAAGAAACCTTGATGCAATTAATAAATAATAACAATACCGGCCTACTAAGAGCAGATGCCCTGCAAAGAGAATGAAATATAAAAAGACCAGCAAAATCTTTCAGAAACCTGACATCACGGGACACTTGTACTAAAGCACGATTTGCAGCTTTTCTAAAACTCTACATATTATGTACATACCTGCAAAGCAAGGAACGCCTGTAAACATAAACACAGAGACATTGATACAACAAGGAATCTGTAATGGTTCTGTTGCAAATGTGATCTACCATCGTACTCCTTGCTCTTTTGGTATAACTATACCAATCAAAATGTTAAACGGCTCCATAGACTCAAACGACAAAGGATTCTTGCTATTTTCTGGACTTCCAGGAATGTGGTGCATGGACCGAAAATTATAATTACTAAAGCGATCATGCTATTTTTTCCCTGTATCAGAAATGTGTCAGTGACAATGTGTAATATAATACAGATACTATAATTAATGGTATAAGAAACACATAATGTGTTAATTACAAAGGTGGATAGACTTTGTGAATATCTGAAATGCAATTGAAGATTATTGCTAAAATGCCATATGCAGCTGCAGTCTGGCCTACAAACAAATATATTAGACATACGTATAAGAGCATAACAGCTAATTACCAAGATGAATAATTGAATCATGATAGTTAAAGATCATATGATTGCAATAACAACTGCAATAATGAATAAGGTTTAAACTTTAGAAGAAAATATAAAATGTTTTTATTAAATCAGAAACTATTCGATATTCGTTTAAGTTTGCAGAGTGGTATAATTAATATAAGTGAAATACTTCAACAGTTAAAATTTAACTGAAAGACAGGCAGAAACTTTACTTCAACTATCAAACTTTATTTATAATGATAAAAATATTCAGTCTGCCAGAGCCAAGGCCAGTCAATGGAAAGTAAAAGAGTATTAGGGATTAACCCATCCAGGTGATATACATGATGATTTTGGAAATTGATCATTTAGGTCACCTATTGCAAACTGGTGAAAAGATGTCAAAGATATAAATTAAACATCCATACCACTCTATGTATATATATTAAAATACACGTAATCAAATATTTTATCAGTTTTTCAAATACAAAGAAAATGTTATTTGGTTTGTAATAGTTAAAGGTACATAAAACCACCTATACAAAGGTAGAGTTAAAATATAAATACATTCGATATTGTATCGGAGTGCTTTCTTAACTCACTTTTAGAAATAATAATAAAAATCCAAATCATCTTAAGCTACATCCAACAGCCACTGAAAAATATACTTAAACAATTAAGATTCACATTGTTAAGCAACCAATCTCACGAATGTAACTTTCCACAATGGCTGTCAGATCTTGGTTAAAAAAAAAATGTTTTCTAAGACAATATTTGGGGGTTTCTGGTATTTTAAGCCACTAATAACTGTAGTTATTATATTTACTAATAATAACTAGGGAATAAGTTGTCTTCTCCCTAACAGGTCAAAGAAAGATAATTAATGTCATATTTCCAATTAGCAACTATTCTAAATATATTGAGAGATTTTGAATAAAGGAGTATTTTTTACATTTAAAGAGAATGTAATTTTACATACCATTGTGAACAAGGGCGGTAAATACTTTGCTGCTTCAAATTATTCTTTATATCTAAATCATATACAAGGGTGTTTATCTTTAATACAAAACACTAGAAAGATTAACTATGTTACTATTTCATCTATCATTATTATACAAAGTATAACAAATATAAAGATTTTTCCACAGATTTTACCTGTTAACATTTTTAGCACAACAACACCTGATGTCAGTGAGATGTCTATCACTGAGATGTTACAAAGATTCCAATACAGCAAAAAGAGGCGTTCTTGAGATTCCACTTCGATTGCTGTATCAACATAACATTTACTATAACTGGATCCATGTCATTTAAGACAATGTCTTGGAAATGCAGTCAATTAATATATTCCGTAAAAGAATATCGGAGAGTATCCAATCTATACACATCATAAACGGTGTAAAAATGTTTCATGGAAAAAACAAAATAAAAAAAGCAAAGACAAATACCAACGCCATCACCACGGTGATAACAGATGATGCTGATTCAATATCTGCGACCAATTCTAGCCAAATATTTGTAAAGCTGGACTCTACAACCTATACTCTACAACAAATACCCGGGTATTCTACAAACACAACCTCCAGCAATGTATCTAAGGAATGTAAACTTCTACAGGCCTTTAAAGACTTTGGATTACAAATACAATTACTATTTTTAATTTTGGATTACAATTCGTATCCGGATCCATCCAAGTATATCTTACTCTGGAACTTGGTGTTCTTTTCAATTCATTCCCAGACAAAAGCTTTGCTCATTTTAATCAACCACTTTTACATACAAAGATCACACTACGGATATTTTACTGTTACAACAATGATCCATGATGCTGGGAGCACAAAAACCTAAAGACAGTTGGAGAACTTTGGTTCACTAATTTAAGGAAGAAATGCGCTACAATGCCCACAGTTTAATGGAGAGGGTGTTATGGGCAAATGCAAATATTACAAGTTTTAGAATGAAATGTTGTATTTCTTAAACTGTGTACTTTGTCTTTAAGATATATTGCAAACTGACAAGGTGTTAGAAATGGAACATATTGTTTTTCATAGATGTTTCTTTAAGCAATAACCTCAGTGCATAATATGTTTGCGCCATTTTGTCCCAGACGAATTACAATAACAATAATGCATAAACAAGCTTCAAGGCTATACTACGACACTTGCAGTACACAATATACTGTGGTAACCCCAAGTTAATGGAACTTCCCCAAATCCGGGAATCTCCCACGACTGTACACTTACGACTTAGTATAAACAACAGATAACCTATTCAGACTTTAAGATGCCATCTTGAACTAAGTCAGGAAAATTTCCATGACGTATACACCCTTTAGTTATGGCCTTGTATGTTTGCCAAATTAAGGGAGGTCCTAAATTGAATAAAGTAAAAGAAGTGTTACTTTTTCATATTTGAACTACAGTAACCTAAAATGGAGACATCTAAGGTATAAATAGGTGTACTTTTAAATGTTAAGACACGGAGGAGAGACTTGGAGACAGACGCTGCTCCATCTTAAAATGACAGAGAGGCTGACATGATGACATGTTCAGAAGGGTATGTTAACCTATTAATGATATTTGCAAGCATGTAATTTAATCTTATAAACTCTGCTATAATGGATTTTATATTTTTATATAATAAATATCCAAAAAGACAAAACTTGCTTCCAAGACAATCCTTATTTTATATTGTATTCTCAATTATTTATATATGTTAAATAGAGGATCTCTTACACTATATAAAATTATGGCTAAGATATCTGTATGGTTAGCCCTACTAAGTTCTATGCTTTAAGACATTATAGTGGTAAATAAGGGAACCACCAGCGGTTACATTTCTATCATATCCCCCCTGTCTCATCTTTCCTCCAAGCTATACATGTTAAGATCCTTTAACCTTTCCTGGTAAGTTTTATCCCACAATCCATGAACCAGTTTAGTAGCCCTTCTCTGAACTCTTTCTGAAGATACGGTCTCCAGTACTGTGTACAAAATACTCCAAGTGAGGTCTCACAAGTGTTCTGTACAATGGCATGAGCACTTCCCTCTTTCTACTGCTAATACCTCTCCCTATACAACTAAGCATTCTGCTAGCATTTCCTGCTGCTCTATTACATTGTCTGCCTACCTATGCATCTATGCATGGCCCTGCCCCCTCAGATTAAACACAGTGATCTGTGCATGGCCCCGCCCCCTCAGACTGAACAAAATGATCTATGCATAGCCCCGTCCCCTCAGACTAAACACAGTGATCTATGCATGGCCTCGTCCCCTCAGATTAAACACAGTGATCTGTGCATGGCCCCGCCCCCTCATACTGAACACAGTGATCTGTGCAAGGCCCCACCCCCTCAGACTTAACACAGTGATCTATGCATGGCCCTGCCCCCTCAGATTAAACACAGTGATCTGTGCATGGCCCCGCCCCCTCAGACTGAACACAGTGATCTGTGTATGGCCCCGCCCCCTCAGATTAAACACAGTGATCTGTGTATGGCCCCGCCCCCTCAGACTGAACACAGTGATCTATGCATGGCTCCTTCACCTTAGACCCCTGGAAAAAGAGGGGAGAGAACTGGTGAGGCAGAAATAGAGGACTAGGACCATAATGGACACCTCAGAAATGGGAAAGCAGGTACATGCTCCCCATCCAACATTTCATATGAACAAAGAAGAACACTTTTTTTTTTTTTTTTACAAGTGTGAGTGGGGTGTGGCCAGGGGTGGGGCTTTCAGAGACATTTTAATTTTCTTGCTATTTATGTAACTACTATAATGCAATTTAGAACAAGAACAATGTATCCTATTTACACAGACTGATTTCTAAACACATTTATTGTAGTTTAAAGACACATTATGGAGAGTATTATTGCTGTGGAGCTCTGTTATACACTCAGACACACCAATATCAAGCTCAAAGAAAAGAGGGAGAGGGATTGGGCCCAAATTAGGGACTGTCCCATCTAAATAGGGACACTTGGGAGGTATGTACACCCACAGCTACACCTACTGCTCCCCACACTTCTGTACACACATACACTACCACACAGATTGCTGCATGTATACAGTTACACCTCCCCTCACACCACTAGACATGCTGCTTCCCACACACACACTGTTTCACACAGTATATACGTATATATATTCACACACACTCACTCTCACTCTCTCATGGAAACACTACAAACTCTATATGTGTATATGTATGACATATTTTGTCATATTTAAACACTCAATCATTTTCGTTTATTAGTATGGAAGGGAATGTGTAGAGAGAAAAAAAGGAGCTTATGATGTAAGTGTAGTCTTATTGAGGCACTCATGTAGGATATAATTGAAGGTAGGGGGCAAATGACAGCATTGTGGGTGGGTCACCAACATACAGTCTGGCATATAAGCGTGAGAGGCTGACTAACAGTTATTCTCACCGGCTCACTCATGGTAGCGCATGTGATTTGCCATGGTCCCAAAGCCTTGAGTATACTCGGTTCAGTGCAAGCGCCTATTGATGTGCGCGGTGGTTATTGTGGACATTCCCCTAGTGTCCTCAAAGCCCCAAACTGGGGACGGTCCTGGTGTATATGGGACAATTACGAGGTTTACCTCCTTGCATTCCAGATCACATAAAGGATTGCATGATACATAATGTTTGGTAGATACCCATCATGTCATTGTGCTGATGGGCAGCACATGAAAAGTTCTGTTCTGCAGCATGTAGAATTCATATGTGACTTGAGAGAGTGTATATATCAAATAAAGGCAGTTCTTCTAGGATTCCGTCTCAATTAATTTAATGTACTGTCCATCAGTATGTAGTTCTGACAATGACATGTACTTCGAAAAACAGGGAAGATCTGGCAATGTGAACCTTACACAGTGTGAAGTGTAAAAGGATCAATGCTTTCTAGGGGTATTTAACCCCTTAAGGACACATGACATGTGTGACATGTCACGATTCCCTTTTATTACAGAAGTTTGGTCCTTAAGGGGTTAATAAATATAGCTTGAGGGGGTTGTATGAAAGTAAAATGATGCCTGGCAGTGTATACATGTATTTAACCAATATGTTTATTTTAGTGTTTTTGTACAGTTTCACATTAATCTAGGGTGTGTGCTGATCTAAATGCATTTTCCTATCCGTCTCTTAGTGTTTATCTGTCTTGGGTGTGCTCTCAAATCAGGTCAATACAATTAAGCTATTCAGGAGATCAATAAAATATAAACTCGATTTCTCCATAAAGCAAAAGCAAGTACTTTTCCCAGTTGTTAAGCAAACCATGAATGAATCAGGTTTTATTGCAAGCATATGCTGAGCCTGTCTCTATCTCTTTAATGCAAAGTTTTCTAATCAGGCTCTATCATTAAACAGGATTCACCATAAACTTAAAATATGATTGCCACCCCTGCCCATTGACAACACAAAACAACACATTATAAACACTACATTAACCTCTTCAGTTCAGTGCTGGCTTAGGGGCTTTATTGCCCTGGAGTTAAAAATTACGCCTGACTTAAAAACAAAATTTGAATTTGTTTGTGGTCTCGTGCACCTGACCTCCACCTGCAGCCATATATAAACCCATTCCATGCATTAACTGGAAATGTCAAGCATTTAAAATCCATATTAAAAGGAATACTCCACTGATTAGAATTTGGAGGTCAAGTCAACAACTTGAATTCTTTGTCACGATCAAACCATTCCTGAACAGGTTTTGCAGTATGCCAGGGTGCATTATCCTGCTGGAAGAGGCCACTACCATAAGGGTACACCATTGCCATGAAGGGTTTTATGTCATCTGCAACAATCTCTAGGTAGTTTTTTTTTTTTTTTTTTTATAGATTCATACATCTAAAGTTTAAAGCTTCCCATTAATTTTAAGTACTATAGTGTCTGTGGTGGAGCTCTCTGTACCCTGGATGGGTACCTCCGCTAGGGACCGCTTCCTAGCTGGGGAACGAGAAGGGGACTAGCTTTATGCGCTCCCAGGGGCTGGACAACACACAGCCCTGGGTGCTTCTTACAGGGCTGCCATCAGAAATTTTGGGGGCCCTGACGCAGTTCAAAGCATGGGCCCACCGCCGAGTCTGTCCCCGGGGGCCTACTCTAAGTCCACCCACAAGGATGGCCTGTGTGGTGTGTAAAATGGATACAGATTGCACATTTATATAATGGATGTAGTTCTGTGTGTTTAAGATAAAGTATGTGTTTGTGTAGTGAATGCAGAGTGTTTGTGTTGTGGTTTTAGTGTGTGTATGGTGAATGCTGTGTGTGTTTGTGTTGTGGTTTAAATGTGTGTATGGCGAATGCAGTGTGTGTTTGTATTGTAGTTTTAGTGTGCGTATGGTGAATGCAGTGCGTGTTTGTGTTGTGGTTTTAGTGTGTGTATGGTGAATGCAGTGCGTGTTTGTGTTGTGGTTTTAGTGTGTGTATGGTGAATGCAGTGTGTGTTTGTGTTGTGGTTTAAATGTGTGTATGGTGAATGCAGGTGTGTATTGTAGTTTTAGTGTGCGTATGGTAAATGCAGTGTGTTTGTATTGTAGTTTTAGTGTGCGTATGGTGAATGCAGTGCGTGTTTGTGTTGTGGTTTTAGTGTGTGTATGGTGAATGCAGTGTGTGTTTGTGTTATGGTTTTAGTGTGTATGGTGAATGCAGTGTGTGTTGTGGTTTTAGTGTGTGTATGGCGAATGCAGTGTGTGTGTTGTAGTTTGTGTGTATGGTGAATGCAGTGCGTGTTTGTGTTGTGGTTTTAGTGTGTGTGTGGTGTATGCAGTGTGTGTTTGTGTTGTGGTTTTAGTGTATGTATAGTGAATGGAGTGTTTGTGTTGTAGTTTTAGTGTATGTATGGTGAATGCAGTGTGTGTTTGTGTTGTGGTTTTAGTGTATGTAAATGTGTAAAATAGAGGGCTGAATTGGGAGGGGGGGAGCCTCTTTGGTGGTATTTACATTTGTATTCCCCCCTCCCTGCTTCTTACCTGACTAGGGAGGGGGGGAGATTGCATCCCTGGTGGTCTGGTGGAAGGAGTCAGCCGCTGTAGAATG